AAGCAGCACAAAAGTTGCGATAACAATATGCAAAAAACAACTCTACTGTTAATATAATATCTGTATATTAATAACTAATAATCGTTTTAAATTGTTTAATCAATTCATCGTTTGCCAGCTAAATTGAAAATCCCTACGGCTCGTTTAATTATTCGCTTAGTAATTGGTTTGCATATTTTTTGTTGCTTTTTCTCCTTTTCTGTGTAAACTAAATTGTTAATATATATATGTTCATCGTTATTATGCTATATATATAGTGTATAGTGCCATAATTGTTCTGGGTTCGCTTACTTATCGCAATAATATAACGAATTCCAAATATTTACTCATAGATACACATGCGATTTAATACTTTTTAGTTACCTTAATGCTCTATTGCTTTTCGAATTGCGTTTTCATTTTTTGTGGCTTTTCTTTATTGCTGTTACCATTAATTGCTTTTGCTTCTTCACTTTCTATCGATTCATTACGATTATATGGTATAATACAATACAATAGCTGTAAATAAGTTTAGCTTTTGCTCTTCGATCTGTTTATAATATATATTCAAAGTGTTCAAGTCTTTCAATTTTTTGTTCTCGCTTGCCTTCATTATTTTCGTTGTCAGCTATATATATATGTATATATATAATATATAGGTTGTATATATAATAATTTCCATGACCATTTTGTTTACTTTATGTTCAATTCTTGAATTATTAGTGTTAACGTGCCAAGTCTTTTTATTTAATTTAATCATTGTTTCGGATTTTGCTCAATTATTTATACATTGCTTTTGTTTTCGGGAGTGCGTGTGTGTGTGTCGCGAGGGGGTGTGTGTTATTTCAGTTTTTGGAATTGATAAATAAATAAATCATGCCCAATGCAAACACTATGCAAATTAAATTTTTCGGAATTAAATGCCAGGACACCGCCTGCTCCCTCGTCCTTTTTTTTGCAGTTTCCCTCTATCAGGGGGTGGTGACCTCTCTCTCTTCGTGCAAAAATTCCTCCCCCATTTCGTCCTTTCTTTCTGTTTCTATTTTTTTTTTATTACATTTCCCTTTGTTCAGGGTTTGCCTAACGAGCGCTCGTTAAACTGCATTGACACAAAAAGGACAACACAATGTTGTTTCCCATGTTTCCATGGTGGAAAATGGCGGGGTGGCCAGCAACAGATAATGGAAACAATGGATCATGAACCTAATGCTACAAATACTGAATTCAACAATTGCATTTCGCATTTCGCATTGCGCTGGTTCCGTGTCTGTCTGAGTAGTGAAGTTTTTATATGCTAAAAATGTATCAACTTTAACAATTTCCTGGGTATAACAATACGTCATGATCTATGTCTGTATCAGAGTGTGTGTGTGTGTGTGTGTGGTGTGTGTGCGTGTTTGGACCAAGTGAAATGCCAAAAAAAGTTTTCCCTTTTCAAATGAAATTTCAATCACTTCGGGGAGCTTCTTTTAAACCCTCTCTCTTTTCTTATTTTACATATTTGTGGGCTTCAAAAAAATAAAATAAAATAAGAAATACATACACCCCCTTGTTTTTTTTTAGCTCCGATTTATATATAGTATATCTTTACCACTACGATTTATTGCTTTTCGATACACGTAATTCTATTAAAAGTTTCTGGAGCTCAATATGAATTTGATTTCTCGCTTACGCTTTCCCATTTTCCTCTTTGTGTTCGTTTTTTTTCTGTTGTTTTTCCGTTGAGCAAAATTAATGAATAGTTCTGAAAAACTCGATGTATGGATGTTTTTGTGTGTTTGTGTTTGGACTATCACAATATTCGAATTGCTTTGGGTTCTTATAGTTTCGTGAGAAAACAAATAAAAAATCACACAGAGTCCAGTTGGAAATAATAATAATAAATAAATAATAACTGAAGAAAGCAAATTCAGTATGGGTTCATAAATAAAAAACATTGTTTTGCATGTAAAGTGTGGGTATTTAATATGTATTTGTATATTTGTAACTTTATAATTGCTTCATTTCCATTTGTTTTTGTTATTTTTTTCATTTTCATTTTGTTATTTGTTTTTACAAGTGTGCTTCGATTGCTAATTGTAAGTAGTTTCAACCTTATAGCTTAGTTTTAAGACTAATAAATCGATTAACTCGCTAAGTTAAGTTAAGTTATTGCTTTACTTTCCTCGCCATTCTATACAATTGTTATACAAAATTTTTAAAATTTAATATTATTGCCGGGCTTTAATTCAACATTCGTTCGTCATAATGCAAATTTCATAAATATTCATTACATTTCTCCATCTCAAAAATGATAAACGATAATTAAATAATAGGTGACTATCTCTAGATAACACTATATATTTTATATATATATATAATTAATTGTAGTTGTAATTGAAATAATTGTAATTTGTTCTGCGTTTGCATTGGGTTCTTCGCTTTTGTTATGTTTTTGTTTTTATTTATTTAGTTTTGAGTATTTGCTTTGGTACTTTAGCCGATTTACTCGATGCCGATTGCTATTCGTCTCGATTATTCGATTAATATTATCCTTAAAAGTGTTGCCATCTCTCTAGCTCGACGCTCCCTCCTCCCTTCGAACAACAGTATAAAAATAATTTCGTGATTATACTTACTAGTTTAACTTACGCGTACATGTCGGAGTACTAACCCTAGCTGTATATATAATATGCCTTTGTAAATATTACGCAACTACATACGTATTCTAGATGTCTGTGTATATATCCCGGAATATATATATATATATATTTCATGCTCCTCTCCTCCCTTAGCTTAGACATACGAAAACGATCTAAACTTGGCTACAACTAGGGACTACAAAATGTTCGTTGCACTTCTTTCCCTCTTCCTCTTTGAGATCGGTTGCTGAAGCTGATTTCAGTTGAGTATTTATGTATTATGTATATAGTATGTATTATGTATAATGTATATGTTTTGGGTGTGTGTTTTAGACTAATCCCTAATATATACAATTTGTGCGGCGATCGTGTGTCTGGTGTGTGGAATGTGTGTGTGTTCATGAGCGTCTGTGAGTTTGAGTATGAAGATGAGTGAGTAAATGCATAAAATGAGTAAATGATGGGAATGAGTATGAGTTAAAGTTACATAATATAGGGCTAAGTAATGTCGTACTAGGTCGGTTAAGTGTCGAAAGTGCAAAAGTATTATTCACGCATGGACGAAGTGTACTGTTAAATGCTTGAGACTAGATCACACTCGATATTTTGTTCTGTTCTGTTCTGTAATTGAGGGGTTCCCTTTGATGCGATCGAATAATTGGGGAAATACTGGGGCGTAATCCCCGATATATCTTTGGTCTTTGGATCGTCGCTGACTTTACTCCTAATTGGGCCTCGAACGGAATGCAATGTTTGTTTAAATTAAACACTGGGAATGTTACTTTGGTATTTAAGTGAGTTTTGCTGTTAAACAGCGACTAGATCTTCACTTCATTTATAGACTAAAATAAGTAGGATTCACTGGGGAATATTATTGGGAAATTGGGAAATGCTAATGCTAAAACGCCCAAATAAAACGATGTTCGAACCGCCTCTCTCTCTCTTTGACTGCAATGCTCTTCTAGCCTTAAATGAACTTTGGTTATAATGGAGCGGGGACTTGACCTATATAAACGTGATCGTGATGCTCTCTACGGGGGGATTAATATGTGGCTTACACAACCAGTTCTCGGGGAGTTCGATTTGGTCCTCGGTTTGGTTTGGTTTCGTTTCGGTTTTGTTAACATTCGCTGCTCCTCCGAACCTTTTGCTCCTTCGAACCGCTCCTGCCTCCCGAAAAAATGGTTCGCTAACCCGACTAAATATTGCTTTGCGTTTCGTTTTTTGTTGCTTTTTGCTTTCTGCCATTGCTTTTTTTGATTAATTTGTGTCATTTGTTTGTTTGTCGTTTATATCGAATCTAAAAATCGTTGTGTGCTTAAATGTCGCTTTTTGGTGACTTAGTTTAAAATTGTTTAGTGGCTAGCACTCGTAATTACTGCTTATAGATAGGCTGCCCTTAAGTCCTAATTCGTTGTTTGAGAAACATTGCATTTGCTTTTGTATTCGTTGCATTAATTTTAATCACTTCGTCGTCTGCGTCGTCCTCGTCGTCAACGTTGTCGATTAAAGAGTTTGAGAGATAGATAGTAGTAGTAGAGAGATATTTGTTCGAGTAAGAGTTTAGAGTTTAGCTAGAGGAGAGTGTTCTTGGAGAGAGTTAGAGAGTGGAGAGTGGAGATTAAAACGTTTGCTTTCGTTCAGCTACGGGTTATATATAGTACACTCTATATATGCTTTTAAATATATAGTACTCCTATGTGTGTGTGTGTGTTAAGTAGTTAGTATTTAGATAGATTAGATATAGCTGCTAGAATTGCTTAGATTTCTTCAGGTTCTCGGAATGCATGTTGTGGCTCTCAAGCCCCCATACACAAGGCTCTCTGTGTGTGTGCTAATTTAATTGGGGTGTGTGTGCTTGTGGAATGTGTGTGTGTGTGTGTAGTGTGTGTGGATTTTCTTTCTTTCTTTTTTTCTTAGGAATGTTCAACTCACTTTATTTTAAAAGAAGGACCTTTTTGAGTTGGTTAACGCCCGCGAGTGTGACCGAAATACCCGCAGGATATTTCACTTCCCTTGAATACTTTCAGGCACCTTAAAAACAGGAGTTTTCAAATCTCTCGGAGATTTCGGCCACAATCGCATGCGTGAGTATTTGTTTTTCTTTTGGTTGCTTGGCTGCCTAATGCGAATTTCTACAGTCTCTGTGTTACTCTACTACACTTTTGCTCTTGGACGTATTGTGATGTATGTATCTCTATAAAAAACGGCTATCGGTTAACCTAGTTGTAAATGGTAACGGTAACTTTAACATTAACGGTAAATTAACTAACCAGCTACGCAGCATCTTAAATTTCCATTTCTTTGCAGCTTTTGACAGCACATCCTCCGGGTGCCACAAGAATCTTTAAATCTCTCGGGAGTGTACTTAAAAGTTGGCTTACTTTAAGAACTCCCCTTTCTAAATATATTCCCATGGCACCCCAGACTTCGTACGTACGTATTGCTTACATGGCATAGGTGGCTCCACTGGCCTCGAGCTTCACCCGTTCGAGGAACTCATGTGGCGGCGATGAGGCCATACTGGCGCCACTCTCACTGTTGCTGTCATGCATGGACAGCGACATGGACATCATCAGCTCCTCCTCGTCCTTGAGACAGGCCGACTCCAGGTGCTTGTTGAGGTACGACTTCAGCGCGAATGTCTTGTGGCACCGCTTGCACTCAAAGTTCTTGTCCACCGAATGGGTTTGCATGTGCGCCCGGAGATTGGAGCGATCCGCAAAGGCCTTGCCACAGTGCGCACACCCATAGGGCTTCTCTCCCGTGTGCGATCTGAGGTGACCCTGGAGCAGCCAGGGACGGGAGAAGAGCTTGCCGCACACACCGCAACTGTGCGAGAGCTTGTGCGTCAGGACATGCATCGCCAGAGCTGGCATGGACACATAGGCCTTACCGCAGGTGTGGCACTTCTTGGCAGACTGCGAGTCCAGGGAGCGATGCGTCTGCTTGTGGCGCGACAGGTTCGAGGAGGTGGCATACTGCTTGCCGCACTCGGAGCACGTGTACTTGGTCTTCTGCTGGTCCTGGATGCCAGGTACTCCAGCAGCACCGCCGGCAGCGGCAGGATCCGCCACATGCTTGCGCTTGGAACGACCGTCGCTCACGAAGAACGCCTCGTAGGTGTAGGCCACTGTCTTGGCGGCTGCTCCGGGACTCGCATGGCCCTCGGCATCCACTCCGCCGGCTGACTCACTCTCCTGCAACTGGTTGGTGTTCGTGGTGTTGCTGTTCTCATTCTGGACACTCGAGGAGGAGTTGCTGCTGGCCAGGCTGCTGCTCGCACTCGAGGCATTGCTGGCGGGGCGTTGCTCGTTCACCACGCTGGCCGCTGCAGCCAGCTCGGCAATCGATGAGGTGCTCCGCAGATGCGCATGCGCCTCCAGTGCCGGGAAGTGGGTGTGGTGCTGGCTCTGGCTCTGGCTTTGGTGCTGCAGCGGCAGGTGATGGGTGTGGACGTGATGGTGTTGCTGCTGGCTGAGGTGTTGCTGTTGCTGCAGTTGCTCCCTTTCCCTTTCTCGTTGCTGATGCTGCTGCTGCTGCTCCTGCACCGTTTGCAGCTGGTGAGGCTGCGTGGGCGGGTGAAACGCAGTGGAGGCACTCAGGTCCAGTATGGCATGCGCCGCATGCAGGTCCTCCTCCGCCGGCACCCGTCTCCTGTACCCATGCGCCGGCTTGTCGTCCAGCGAGTACGGCCTGTAGATGTCCTTCTTCTTTGGCGGCAGCGACAGCGTGGCTCCCGTGCTGCTGAAGCACTTCCTTTCGCTGGAGGTCTGTCCGGACTGGAGTGGACTGTAGCGGTCCCCGGCGCCACTGGGTGAGCACGAGGGTGACGATGTGGTGGATGAGGGTGGCGTCTGGTACGCCGCCAGGTGTTGATCTCCATTAGGATTGCCGCTGGAATTGGCGGAGGCGGCTGCCACCAGAGCTGTGGCCGCGGCACGGATCACGGTTATCTCGCTCTCCATGCGGGGAAGGTACGCGGTGTAGTGCAGCGGCGACAGTTCGCGGGTGTAGCCTGTAATTTAGGAAAAAATAGACGGAAAAAATGGGTTAAGTTCCATGTGGTGCAACAGTTTATGGAGGATAATATATGAAGTGAATTTAACCCTGAAAAGCATGCTATGAAAAATTTTATAAATAAGACCATACTTTTAGCCATTGCAATTTAGATTCCTTTTAATTTTTATACCATTTATAATAAGATATATATTTTATATCAAGCTTCCTAAGTTTCCTTGACTCAAGGCTTTTTGATATACATTTTATTTCATTTTCTCATCCTGTTTTGTCGGAAACAAGAAAACAAGTTGAAATTATTGTTTGTTCCATGCTTTTCCATTTGAAAACTTTAAACAATAAAATCTATGGCACATTGAAGGGCGGCCACATGGTCCCATTTTATGCTTCCTTTGAGTTTAATTTATAATACCCAAGGGCGAAATAAGAAAGGTCAGCCTAAATAGCAAAAGGACATGTCTGAAGTTATGTTTAGCATATTATTTACGACATTCTTTAAATGTTTTAGAACGATTTTCTTATGCAATTTAGATAATTTAAATTAGTGCTACATTATTAAGAAACTAAATGACTAAAAAATAGTACAATTGTATGTCTAATTTCCTTTGAATAATTAATTTTCCAATTGTACATGAAAAGCCAGACCGAGTACCAGTCTTGACAACACTAAAGGGCCAACAAAACGGTTTAATTTCCTCATTTTGCCATTGTTTTCTGGCCCCAAAAGGGAAGCAGTAGTGGTACTGACGTTTGGCGAGGTTCACCGTGGAGTATAGGCCACGTTTGGCCGGAATTGCAAACAATATTGAGTGACAACAAAGGCAATTAAATTGATTCGGAATTGTTTCGCAATCGCACAATGGCCACATCAATGACAGCGATTACGTGCGCCACCCCCTCTGCATTTCCCACACTTTTCCGCTTTTCCGAAACCTCAGTGGTGGCTATAGCGTTATTTTTTATTTCGTTGAAAAGCCAGATAATTAAAAAAAAAGAAAAATGGAGAAAATCATGGAAAAAATTTTGTTTGTTGGGAAAAAACTTGTTTTTCAAGTATCTGGTTAAAGAAATATATTTTTAAGAATTTTTTTGAATGTTTGGCAAATAATTTAGATAAGGAATTTAATTAAAAAATAATTGTTGTATAAAAATGTTATTTGCTTAAGGAAATACTAACTAATTTAATTAAACTACTGATGAAAATTAAGAAACCAATTCAATGCTCGATCTAAAAAATAATGTAGCATACTTTTCAGTGTCTTTCGCGGGATTTTAAAAGACAGCCAATTTATTAGGAACCCTGATTCAAATAACTAATTACCAGACCTAGGGAATATACATTGAAATATAAAACATATATCCAATAAAAGGACAAATCGCCATCACTGTGTAACTGTGAATTGGCTTCCAACTTTCTCTTGGAGGGGGCGTAGAAATGGTGGACTTACCGTTGTAAACACTGCCGGCCACTCGCGTTGCCGCCTCCGGGGAATGGGGCGGCGGACTGGGTGCCGTGGTGCCCGCCGTGGGTGAACTGGGACCCCAGCACTTGGCTGTCGTCGTGGCGGAGGCGGATGTGGATGTTGCTGCCGTGCCCTCGATGTTGCTGTTGCCACTGTGAGATGTTGCTGCTTCCACAGATGTTGCTGCTGCTGCGACGGAGGCCGCTGCTGCCGCTGCTGCTACTGCGGCTGCTGTTGTGCGTTGCTTTTCCAACTTGGTCAGGAATTTATCGCCCACCACATCGATCTCCTCGTCCTCATCCAGAGTGGATCTGCGGGACTTGAGATGGGGCAGATCCTCGGGATCTCTGGAAGTAGAGCTGTGTTGCTGATGCGACTGCTGCTGCTGCTGCTGCTGCGGGGAGCTGTTGTCCTCCGTCCGATCCAGCCAGGGATAGGCCTTCCACTTCTTGGCTATCAGGCAGCGCGGCATGGTTAGGGGTTTCTCGTTAAAATTTAGAGGATCAGAGTTTTGGCCAGGAGCTTGGGAGATCAAGTTGAGTCTAGGTGCTAGGGGCTAAGTGTTAAATGCTAAGTGCTGAAGCGAGTGGCGAGTTTCGAGCGAGCAAAGACCGTCTCAGGGGGTAATTCTTGTGGCAAAAGCGGAAAGGAAACGTGGCTGTTGCTATCTCGCATGTGAAATTATAATATATATATTGTATGTAGTTTATATATATATATTTGTAGAGTTTGGCTCGCCGAAAGTTCTCTTAGGTTTTAGTTGTACAGGTTAATGATTTCTAATTTCAGGACTGGCATGCCTGCCTGTCCTCCTGCTCTTGCCTCCGGCTTGGGGTTTGCTGTCGGTTAAATATCCTTAGTGATTTGCATGTTATTGTAAATTGGTTTTCCTTGGGGGCTTCAGTAGTTTCAGTAGTAGTAGGACTCCTCGGGTTTCACAGCCACTTCACACATTTCGGCGCTTGTATCCGTCATTTGGGGCTGGGAGTTTTTCGACAACGAGTGCCCCTTTTTTATTTTCTCTCTATATATTTTTTTTTTGCCCGAATCCGGAGTTTTTGCCAACGATTTTTGGTCAGAAAACACACACGGACACGGACACGTTCGCGTTCAGTTGGCTGGCTGCGTGTGGCTTATCGATTTTTACATTTGCGTTTGCGTTTACGTTTGTTTTTACACGGGAACTGGACTCAAAACATAACGTTTTTGGGGCTTTATTTCGGTTTAATAGTGGTATATCCTTCTCGTTTTGGCTCCTTCTTGTTTTTTTACTTGTTATTTTATTGGGTTGTTATTTTTTGTGGTTGGTAAACAATTTGAAACAAAACTTTGATCGATGTTTTTGTCGAGTCGAAAAATAAATGTTTTGTTTTTGTTTCAGTAAAACGGAAAGAGTTGAGAGAGATTGTAGATTGTATAGATTGTACAGAGATTGTAGTTTTGGTAAAAGTTAAGTTAAGGTTGACGCGAGTTTGAGAAGAGTTGTTATTGTTGTTTGTTGTTGGTAGTGAAAAAATTGATTTAGGAGAAAATATAATATTATATAAGATAGAGAAGAAATGCGAACGAACCGAACGTAAGCAACTCTTGAATGCTTATGAGGGTGCTCCGAGGAGAGTCCCTGCTTATAAGGGTGGTAGCCCGACCGTTGCAACCGAGTCGGCTCGATCCGAATCCCATCGAACCGTTAACGAAGTGCCAGCCGAGGTGAGCCGAAGGGTGTCGTAGTGAGAGCGAAACGCTTGGAAGAGAAACACAAACACAGCCCCTAAATGCCAACCCCCAAAGAAAGGAAGCGTAGCTGTTGCTATTGCTGTTGCTCATCCTGAAGGCGCCTCTAAACGTTTAAATAAAAGGGAAACTAGGAAAACATTCATGAATTTATTTTTAATCTATTTTTTAAAAGTTATTATACCAAAGGGTATTTAAAGTTTTGGGTTACTGTATAATAAAATATCTTTTAAATATACAATTTCATTTGGTTTTCCATAAAATCGTATCGTTTGGAACCTCCTTAGAGAACAGGCAACAATCAGGAAGTGTTTCATTGCCAAAACATTCCCCGCTGTTGCTTCTCCCATTTCGAAATTGTTGCGCCTCTCTCTCACCATTTCTCCCAACAATTTCTCCGCCCCTCTCTCGGTCGTACCTGAATTGGCTCATGGCTCTTTTGGCCCTTTCGGAACTTTTTGGCTCGCGGCTCTTGGACGCCTCGGGCTGCCGTATCCCTTCTCCCCCTCGCATCCTTCTTGCTTCCTTCGAACATTTCATGGGGTGGATTTTGCACAGAATGTGGCAGTTGTGCCGAGTTAATTGCTGTTGCATTGCATTTGTTGCTCGGGCTCTGATTTTGAACAAATTGCCAGCGACACAGGGGTGTGGGGGTGATGGAGGAGCAGAAAGCACCACGGTTCGAGGGTATGCAACAGTCGCTGATGGGTCCTCAGTCCTTAGTCCTTAGTCCTTGGCCCTAACTCGGTTAGTACAAGATAAACAGCACAAAACTACTATATAGTAACTACTGCCCACTCTTAGCATTGCTCCCCATTCGATGCTCTCCATTGGCCATGAATAAGTGGTTTACTTTCCGGATCAGGGGTCGGATATGAGTGCGGACTCGAAATCGGTAGATGATTAATCGTGCCGAGTGAGCTCCTGCGGAGCTGCTTTTGATTGACAGCTGGATGTGTCATATGCCACACTCCAAGGATGAAATCAACTCCCAACGAAAACTAGCATTTTCATGGCACACAAAAAAGGACCGTAAAAAAATACAAATACTCCGGAGTTTATTTTGCTGAAAAGTTAAGCTTTTTCTTATATCCTGCCAGGGTATTATAAATTTAGTCAGAGGCTTGAAACACTGTGAAGGAATCATTTCCGACCCTATAAAGCATATATATTCTTGATCAGTATTAGAAACAGAATCGATCTAGCAATGTCCGGTTGAAAAATACATTTTTTAATTTTTTTCAAAAAAAGATAAGGGGTTCATCATTAAAATGTTCCAAAATGGACAAAAAAATTGAATTTTTTGAATGTTTAAATTGAGTATGCAGATTTGTTTGCGATGTAAAAACTGACATAGAACAGCTTTCCGAATTAAAATTAATGCGGGTTTGGCTTAGTTATGAGATTTTAAAACTTTGAATTGTCGAAAAAATTGTCATAAAAAAATATCGTTAAATATTGAGTCAAAGAATGTGAACATTTGAATAAAAAATGTATAATGAATAATTATAATTATAAGTAACTATGACCATTAAGTATCTATGACCACTAAGTATGAATGATGAGTTACTAACTTTGAACACAAATAAACAATGACTTGCAACTTTTAAAACACAACACATTTCTGAGACTTGGCCGGCAGCAGTCACTTCGTTCCGGGGATGTTAGAACCAGTTGGGAATCATATGCATAGATGTGCAGAGTTCTTTTGGAAGAAACTTAAGCAATTCGAATGAAACTATCGAGTTATTCTTCTATATAATTTTACTATTATAAAAGTCGGAGCATGGCATATATATACTATATATATAGACTATCGAGTATTTATTTAATGTAATACGAACATTTAAAATCTTATTTTAAATACCACAACTATAACAATAAACTCCCTTTAAAAGCATAAAGCAACAGCTTTTAATAGCATCTCAAAAATCTTTAAAACGGAATGCACATTGTATATATAGATATATATATAGTATAATCTGTTCGCTTTCCTAGTCAGTCCAACACACACAAAACTAATTAATTAAAGCGGAGCTTCGGTTAGCTGAAGGGGAGCTTCAGCTTTGCATAATCAGACACTTAAATTACAAAGTTCTTAACCTTTTAATTAGCCAGCGACAACAGACAATTTGTCTGCTTCAGACAAGCTTAGTCCTTGGCTCCTCTCTGCTGTCGGTGCAGCAGTTGCAGGACTTTAAGAATGTATATATATTCCATATAATTCATTGGAAATTTAATTCGTCCTTCTATGGTATCCCCCAGGATCCTGTGCTCAACCCACTTCCTGCTCCCTGGCAAGCCAGAACTCGAAACAGATGTAACCGTTTTTTTTTTTATAAGGTTTCCTTGTTTAAACTATTTCGACATTTTTTGAGGAAAACTAAGAAGTGCCATGGCGATCTATCTGTCCATCCATCTCCGGTAGGTGACAGGCCATAAGGACCTAGTCGGGGAAGGGGGCATTCCTTGAAAATGAACGTTAGTATGTAAATATGAACGTTAATGTAACGTATAGACCATCTGTGGAATTCGGTTGCACTAATTATAAAGAAAATATATTGAAAGAAAAAAATTGGGCTCGTCCTGGCACCTCCTTGGAAGCCCTAAATATGTCCCGTTCAACCCCACTCAGGTGGCACTGAGAGAAATTAAATCAATCTAATTATAATTTAAAAAAAAAAATGGGAGCAAACTTGTTTAAACAAAAATGTAGAGAAAAGTGATGGTATTATAATAAATAGACAGAAATACATTGAAAAATCGTATAAATTATATGCAGATCATAGTATCCTTTTTAATTAACTTTTCTTTCGGTGCATGTCCTCCTTTCTAGTGGTGACTTCACCACTCTTGCGGCACACGACTCCTTGCAAATGGTAATCTGCTTTTCCAGCCAACAGACTTGAAGGCGATTCTATAGAAGATGCGCTTTGTGCGGCCCACGTTGAAATTGTTGCGCTTCGTTAGTCGACACTCCACCTTCACTCTGCATATCCTTTGGGCAGGAAGAAGGGGGGGATATTCAGGACCGCGATCGCCGCTGGCCACGCGCAGACAGACACTCCCTCCCGAGCCTCGATCTGGAACTGCAGATGGTGAGGCACTGAGGCGATTCAAGCTCGGTGGCATATGGCCGGGGCTTTGGCTAGCGAATCGGAACTTGGCCACGCGTCACGACAGGAAAATGTAGAATATGGAAATGGTTTTGTTTTTGGAGGAGGAAAAGCGGCTACCAAAAAAAAAAAAAGAAAAAATTATGCAGCCGGCAGCAAAGGACGACGGACTGGGCGGCATGGGGCGCGCTCACCTGGAACAAGGACAATATGGTTAATGCAGCGACAGCCTTTCCTGTTTCATGTTTTACGAGCTCTCTGTGTGTGCAGTGTGCGGTGTGTTCTAAGTTTGGGTGCTATTAGTTCTTGTTTATTTCGTGTTCTATACCCTGCCAGGAGGTATTTCAAATGGAATTAAGGGCTTGCCATGGTTCCAAAGGGGTGGTGCCTCTGACACATTTCGGGAATTATAGGTGGACCATTACATCTACTTGATCGGTTGTGTCCGTTCTTGCTATTTTAGTACCTACATTTTTGTGTTTAATGTTATCTAATTGTATCTGAACATTTTTAATTGAGGTCCTTTAAGGATTCTGTTAAAATAAATGTAGTTTTGCTTGTAAATTAATTTGAAAGATATCTAGATATAATTTGATCCTTTCTTGGATATTATTTTTTAGGCTTAAGTCTAATTTGAAATCCTTGAAGTAGCGTTAAACCTGTTTTGTCTTCAAATAAAGCTCTGATTCCAGATTTAATGACTTAATACCTCTTTCCTCAGTTCCTTTCTAAACCTAGAGGGTATTCCCAACTTCGTTAGATTAATTGTAGTTGAAATTTGTTAGTTTATTTAGTTTTGAGGGAGAGGGGGTGCTGATACCAGCCAAGGTGCACCGCAGCCCAGTTGCGGGGATTCAGTTGAGCGCGTTTGAGAGCGTGCAAAAAGCAGCAGGAGTTGCAGCCAGGAGCAGGAGCTACAAATACTACCAGGACCCCCAAACAGGAAATGCTCTACAAGTGCTGCAGCTGGCCCAGCTGTTTTGGGTGTTTTTTTATTTTATATTTCAGCTCAGTGGGTGATATATATATATATATATATACACAACTCCCACCCAGCGAAAAGGACATTAAAATCCGCACCCCACTTGCAATAGCCATTTGGCTTGTCAGCTTGCCAAGGGCTATTTTGGCGTCGTTGGTTGCCTAGCGAGTTGCTCCGAAACTTTGGCTATAACTGCCCCCCAGGTTTATATTTACAGTGAAATTTTTGATAAAGGATATAGAAAAGGTTTTGGAAAAATATAATAATGATGATGTATTTTTTCTAAAAATGAAATTTTCTGTGCGTATTTTATAATAATATCAAACTGAGAAGATTTGTTTCTCTGAAGAATCAGAATGAAACCTAAAGAGTAACTTGCTTAAATAGAAAACCCTTAATTTCAACTATGAAAAAATGGTTCTGCAATATTAATAATATTATAGTAATATTAACAAATATTTGCATATCAAAATTCATAATATTAAATATTAAAAAGAAATAGGCTTTCAGCATAACTATTAGCTACTTAGGAAGGTAGCCTGATTTAGACTCTAAAAATGTAAAAAAAATGCTTTTTAGTATCTTTTCTATTTTAGAACCTTCTCTTATCAATTCTGTTCTTTTATTTTATTTAATCCACAGATGTTTTTACAACAAATTGATATCTCTTAGGAGCAAACACTGTATATAAAGCGATTCGCCATCCCTTTCGTTCGTTCACTCGCTCGGGGTCGCCTGAAGTGTGACGCTC